CTAATTGGCTCTTCACAGCCTGGCTTTTCAACTCTACATGATAGATCTTTGTGCATTAAACCAATTTTTACCTTTGTTTCCCATTCTCCAGCTTTCCCCCACTCCCCTTTTATTAATTCTGCATTACTGTCTTTCCTGTCAGCAATGTGTAATCACATCGATCAAAATTGCTTCAAATTAACTTTTTTCCCAACTCTTTCCTTACTCTGTGAAAGCTTATTTAAGGCAGACTGACTGAAGCTATGGGATAAAATCCGGAGTCTGAACAGGAGGTGTGGAGTTAAACAATGAATATATATATTTTAAAAACCATTTGAGCCAAATAAAAGCAGCCTTCCTGCCTCATCTTTGCTTGCAAGGGGAGAATTCCCTTGCCTCTGTTTTGCTCTTCCCATCAAATGTCTTATTTGAAATAAAAACTTTAAAAAAACCCCAAACCACTAAAACACACACTAAAATGTTTAATCTCTCATCCAAAAAGGGATAAATTCCCAAAACTAGATCACATTTACATTAACCCTTTTATGAACATTAAGGTTGATGATATCTGCTAAGGAAAAATCTCATATGTAAGTTCAGGGAATTGAAATGAAATGGTGAAAAACTGAAATAAATCCTTCCAGCCATCCCCAGAGGAATGTCAGTGGAGTGTCACCCATTCCCTGAGGGGTGTCAAAACCAAACAACGTCAATATTTTTCTTCACTTTTAAAACTTGTTCCCGTTTATGATGGTGGCTGACAGCAAAGCAGGGACTCAGGGATTGTGGATGGGACAAGAAAAAGGAAATCCCCTTGTCCATAGCTCACTGTTCCTTACTGGGGAATTTAGATATTTCTGAGACAATGCAGCAATGAAATCAATTCAGCCACATGCCATGACAAAATTACCTATATGCTCATAAAATGAGACCCTGGTGGAAATGAAGTGTTCAAAATCCTATGGCTGAATTGGAATATATTTAATCTCTCAGTATGAATGCTTATTTCTGTCCAATGCCTTACTCTCTTTTTTTCCAGTGTGCTAAAATTATTTCCAATACAAGCAGCAGAGCCTGGAATTTACAGGGGAAGAAGACTTGGCAGCCTGTATCTGTTTCCTTATAAAACATTTTGTGAAGTGCATACAGTGAATTAATTAGGAAATAGAATAGAGAAATACAAAGCTTTGCTCTTTATTAGGCTTACTAGGCAGACTAATTAATATTGCTAGATACCATATCAGCTTTGGTGACTAAGTGGCCAATTCCAGCTCATCGGGAAAAAAAAAGTAAAGCAACTGAAGCCTAAATCACCCAGATGGAATGAGGAGCCAGCTGCATTGAAATGGAAAAACTGGAGAGTGTTGGGCCATGGCATTGGATTTACTGTGTGAATATCCACATCCCAGCTCTGGAAAGGTTCCTCATGCACTGGGCACAGGAGGACCCAAATGCAGGCTCTGGACACAGCACCAGCCCTCCCTCTGGAAGCTTCATTTGGAGCTCAGAAGACAAAAATAGGCAACAGAAAGAGAAATTATTTGCAAAGCAGGCAGGATTGGTTTTATGCCTCATTTGAAAACCTCGGAAGCCTGTGGAGGAAGAACAAAGAGCTTGTTGCTGGCCTGGGAAACATCTGGGAAAATGAGGAGAAATGCTGCTCAGAGGGCTGAGGAACCTCTCCTGTGAGCAGAGGCTGGGGTGTCCAGCCTGGAGAAGAGGAGGCTCCAGGCAGAACTTAGAGATTTTCCCATTGCCTAGAGGGGCTCCAGGAGAGCTGGAGAGGGACCTGGGACAAGGGATGGAGTGATAAGACAAAGGGGATGAGTTCAAATTTAAGGAGGCAGATTGAGGTCGGGTATTAGGAAGGAATTCCTCCCTGTGAGGGTGGGCAGGGCCTGGCACAGGGTGCCCAGAGCAGCTGTGGCTGCCCCTGGATCCCAAGGCCAGGCTGGACAGTGTCACCATGATATTTTTGAAAAATCCTTTGCCAGGATTTTCTGCTGAGAAGCCTCAGAAAAGAAATGTAAGCAATAACTGTCTGAATGATTTGAATCACGTCAGGATCACCAAATGTGGTTGTGTTCGAGGGTCTGAGGACAAGGGAAGAGATGAGAATATTGACTCCATGTTTCAGAAGTCTGGTTTATTATATCATGATATTATATCAAAATGTTATACTAAAAAGAACAAAGAGAAAGGATCCATCAGAAAGCTAGAAAGGAAAGGAATGGAATGAGTAACAAAAACCTGTGACAGCCAGAGAGTCCGACACAGCTGGACCCTGACTGGCCATCAAGCAAAAACAATGCACACAATGAAAGATGCACTTGTTGGAAAACAATGTTCAGACCACATTCCACAGCCATCAGATAGTTATTGTTTACATTTCTTTTCTGAGGCTTCTCAGCAGAGAATCCTGGCAAAGGATTTTTCAGAAAATATCATGGTGATGGGACAGGGCTTGGAGCAGCCTGGGACAGTGGAAGGTGTCCCTGCCATGGCAGGGCTGGAAGGAGATGGCCTTAAGGTCCCTTCCAACCCATTCCATGTTTCCATGATCTTTCTCAGGTACCCTCACAGCTTCTCCAAACCAAGCACTGCCCTCAGCTTCCTGCTGCCCCAAACCTTCTTCCTCCTGGTCCCAAATCCCTCCTGACCCCCAGGGCACCATGCAGAGCATTCCTGCTGCTTTCAGGTGCTGGTGGCCAGCATCTCCTGGGAAAAAAAGAAAAAACTTTTTTTTTCAGCTGCTGTTCCTGAGAGCAGAGTTTTTATCTGGGGGAGAAGCCCTGGGAAGCAGTGGGGTTTGAGCCAGGAGTGAAACCCCAGCACATCCCAGGCTGAGTGCCAGCCCAGGGAGCCGCTGCCCTGGCCCTGGCTGCTTCCAGGCTGCTCCTCCAGCAGGGCTAATGGGATTAAAGTCAGTTTTCCCCACTGAGGTAAACAGAAATGACAGGCTCAATAACATGGAGCTTTTAAAGTTGCATAGATGGTTCAGCAGACAGAAGTTTTGCCCTGTTTGTGTCTCAAGTCAGAATATTTTCCACTTAAATTAAAATAACTGCTGATTTATGCAATCAAGGCAAAAGTTGGAATAAGCTACATGGTCTTTTAAGGTAATCATGTAAAAATATCTAGCATAAATGGAACTGCTGGCTTAAAATAGACAAAAATATCTTATTCAGAAAAATAACTCCTTCAGCTATAACCATCAGTATTCAAGTACAAAGCAAGCTGTGCTTTCCATCATCATCCATTTGTTCAAATGCAATATGAGATATGAAACACTTTTAGGAATGTTTTTTCCACAATGTTTATTTGGTTTTCTTTTATTTATTTATGACAGCACAGGATACAATTATTGTTGGAGACTCTTGGACACCTTTGCACCTTGCATTCTTTGTTATTTTATTCCAATATTGGAGGCAAAGGGATCTGAATGGCAAATATAAGCATTCAAAATAAGTTGGGAAACTTGTCTTTAATACTTAATAGGATTTTGCCAGGCACTGTGCCCAGCCAAGAAAACACTCAAAGTATCCCTGTCTGAAAGTGTCATAATTTTACACAGGAAAATGTCTGTGTGCCAAATGTATCACCAAATAATTGAAACACAAAACTGCCAGAATTTTCTTTTCAGTAATGACAAGAAATTAAGTAATTGTTAATATGAATTCTAGAAAAAGCCCTCAGGTCCCTTACTCACATTATATGAATAGGGTCACAGTATTAAAAGGTTACAGTAATGATCTTGGATTTCAAACCCAAATAAGTAAAAAAAAAAATCATACAAATTTTCTGGATGTCAAGGCTGATGGTTTTGTGATTTTTATTTCTTTTAATGTGTTATTCTAAGGAATTTTGTACAAAATTTTTTTTTCATCTAAAGTAATTTAAATTGTTTTTCTTCTGCTGTTCAACAAAATTGCTAAAAGTAATTTTTAAACAAGACAAGAATTATAAAGTGTTTAGTGCCAAAATTTCAGCTCAAAAAGCAATTTTTTGTTCTAAGAAGCAGGAAACGGGATCCACTTTGATCAGCTGAATAAAAAGGCAGAGCCTACTGGAAGACTTCAGCTTTTTTATTGTTTTTTCTATTACTGCAGAAGTGCTTCAAAAGCCATGATGGACCTTTTAACTGGGAATAATCCCCCCCAGGGCTGTTTGCTCCAGGACAGACTCTGCCCTCTCGTGCACCTTGGTGTGTGTGCTCTGGGCTTGCAGTGAAATTGTTTCCAATGATTCCAACTCCCAGTGATTGACTCTTGCAAAGGCTCACAGTGTGACACAAGAAATTGAAACCTAAACACCACTTTTGTTAGAAGTTTTGATTCAAGAGAGCACCATCCATTTCATGCCTGCTCCATTTTTTAACAGACTCGTTTGTGTGGTTGTCAAAACCAAATTAAAGGCACAATGTGTCTGCCATGCCAAATACAGTAACTCTTTCAAAACTTGCTTTTCCAGCAATGATGACATTCTTTCTCTTCTTTTTTTTCAGGAAATGCCTGGTTTAGAAGGCAATGATGTGTGTTAGCAAAAACTTGATGAATAGTTATTATTTTGAGCAATATTCTTCTATTTATTGGTCAAAATAGAGAAAAACATTAGAATTACATGAAGTGAAAAAGTGGTGCTGCTGCATCAGTGCTGTCACCCTTCAAACTCTATGGCATAAGAGTTTAGGAGTTTAATTTCCACTGTAAAGGCCAGTATTTCTGAGAGAAAATAGCATGGTAAATGTAATAAACTTGATTCAAACATACAGAACCTGTAATTATAAGGGATGAGGTATCTGGCTTAAGAGGACCTTCCAACCCCGAAAACAAAAGCCAAATCACATTAATACAAAAAATATGTAAACTCTGAGACAGAACACAGTCCTCTCCCAGCTGGTGCTTATCTGGTGTGCCTGATCTGCTGGCCAGGTGAAACTTAGAAATTAGGAATTGTCCCTGACCCCCAACAGCTGCTATAAAAGTCTTTTAGACAAGCATAGGGCTGGCTGCACGCTTGGAAGGAGGACTGGCTCAGCTCAGGAGAGGTCAGTGTGGATCTTATCTGCTGTTTTTATCAATTTTATGAAAAAAAACATTAATTTTGAAGTGCTTTGAGGAAGTTGGTGTGGTGTTTTCTGCCTTGTTGGTGTTGTCAGAGCATTTGCTGGGCTGCTGCTGGCCAGCCCCAGGCTGGGTGGCTGTGCCTGGGCTTGTATGTCTGTGCAATGAATTGTGTACAAATATTTTACACTTAAATTTTGTGCTGCCTTTGGAAAGTGAGATTAACTCTGCAGTTCTCTTTCTTGCTGGCAAGGCCAGGCAGGGATGGGTCTGGAGCTGAAGTTCAGGCGTAGTTTGGATCTCCATGGATTTTGCTGTGCCATTTTTTCCACTGTTTCTTTGCCTTTCTCTCACCCTGTGAAGTGAGCTCCTTTAAAAAACGTGGCCTCATTGCATGCTTCTCTTTGTGAAGGTTTTGAGAAGCAATTAACAAATCAAAAACTGAAGTAAAAAACTCATTCTTTATTTGTGGTCAGGGCAACAAACTAGGTGGAATGATGAGTTCCCAGGGGCTGGGATGCCCCATGTGCCTCAGGTACCTGGTGCCACAGGTCAGGGAGGGAGGGAACTACTTTGCAGAAGGAGCCTGATGTCTTTCTAGGAGCCTGTAATCACCTCTGAGCCCCTGATTTTTCTGCTCTTTGCTCTATTCTGTACACTGTGTTGTCCTCCAGGGGTACCTGGCACTGTGGAAGGTGTCGGTGCAGCAGGGCCCAGGGTGAGCTCCTGGGATGGGCTGGTGGATTCCAGCTGCTCCAGCTTCTGTTCCCAGCACAGGCATCTCCTAGCCTCAGCCTTTGTCCCTGGGTTACACCCTTGGAGTTAAATGTTGGATGTCTGGCAAGCTGCACAGTCCATGAGAAATATTACCTGCTTCCCCAGGCTGACAGGGCTTGAAAGGGAGCATTTGTCAAAACAATTCCTTGGATTCTCTACTTTCCTTGGTCTTCTTTGTGCATTGCATTAAGGTAAAAAGGTGGCATGAGATGGGAGGGTGATGAATTTATTTGATTGTGGAGCTCTGTATTAACGTGCCCAAGGGGCTGTCACACACACCAGGCAGATCTCCTCCAGGGTTCTATCACCAGCACTTTTGCTGGCAAAGAAACCTCTCATCTGAAGCTCTGCTGGTGCTTTGCAAACATCCCTTGCATGTCTTGATGCTCAAGAGAGATCAGTGATTATGTTATAACTTGTGCAAATGAAAATAAAGCACAGGTGTGCAGGGGCAAGGTGGTGCTGCCACAGGTGTGGGTGGTGCTGGGGCTGTGCAGCCACTGCTGCCACCAAACCAGCGGCACGAGTGTGCAGGGGCAAGGTGGTGCTGGGGCTGTGCAGCCACTGCTGCCACCAAACCAGCTTGGAAACCATCTCTTCCCTCCCATTGCTGTCCATTCCTCCCCTCTTACAGACTCACAGAATGGTTTGTGTTGGAAGGGACCTTAAAGATCAGAGCCTCTTCCCTCCCACTGCTGCCATTCCTCCCCTCTTACAGACTCATAGAATGGTTTGTGTTGGAATGGACCTTAAAGATCAGAGTTCTGGCTTGGTGCCATGTGGTTGATAAGAAAAATCTCATTCTAGGCCCTTTTTTTTGGATGTAGCAAACACTGGTCTGTTGATGAGCTCTTCATCCTTTGCACTTTTTCATTTGGTGTGCTCATGGTTTGAAGCACATTGCTCATGACAGTGCAGCTTTCTGTAGTACCCAGCACCAGCAAGCCAAGAGAAAATTCAGAAGTTATTTTTACATTGTGCACAGAAATAAGAAAATTGCATAACATGTCATGGAAATGGGTGAAAAGAGGACCCTAATACACCTGGCTTGCCCTTTTGTTTGAGCTTTTGGGAAGCTGTTTGGTGTCTTTTGCTGTGTTTTCTGTGTGGCACAGTGAGAGGTGCTGCTGCAGACCAGGAGCAGTCGGGTCAGTCTCAGTCCCTGCAGCCCTGGGTGGTTACAGGAGCTCACAAGTGCAGCTGGCTCAGCCCTGGCTGTGCTCACAGCAGAGATCAAAGTGAGATCAGAGCTTTTGGAGCTCCTGGGATGCTGCAGAGGGTGGCTGAGACAAGCTTGGAAATGAGTGAATGAGGTCTGACATTTGCCACAATGAATAAGTATGATTAAAGATTTTTAAAAAGTGATGGAAGGGGAAAAGGATTGCTGGTGAAATCAGTCTAATACAAACAGTATTTCTGGGATGTGCTTTGGCTGTGGCTCAGTGTTATGTTCCATGTTTGTGGTGGAAATGGGGTGGCTCTGAGGGAATTGGGAAGGGTTCTGTGCTCTGCAGGGGCAGCTTTAACACAAACTGGCAGCTCCTCTGCACCATGGAGCACTGCAAGACAAATCTGCCCGGTCTGGCACACCTGGAGCAACACTTCTGGCACTTTTGAACCAATATATTTTCTATTTCTGAAGAATTGCTTCTATCTCTGCTTACCTCTTTAGTTTTGCCTAAAAAATACCCCAAACAAAACTACAGTTGTGATTTCTGGAACCTAAACTACTTATAAATGGATGATGAAGATGATTGCTCAGTAATTGCTGTGTTTAAGTGCCTGTGACTATAATGTTGTGTGATTATATCTGTAGGAAGTAAAAAATACAAGTAACTTATCAGAATTGCCACAGGTTTAATCTGTTCTTCTGGAGTTCTTGGAAATACTGCCTCTGATTCAGCCTGCCACAAGATTGTGGCTTTTAGGGGTGTTCTTTAGGTTGTTTTGGTTTTGTACAAGAGTCTCAGTAGTGAGCCATGTATTTATTTTTTTCTTTTCCACTTACCTGTGAGTATTTAGGCATATTTCATAGTGTTAATTTGAAATAAAACTAACCTTGCTAGTATTTAGATCTCTGTGTGTTTCCTCAAAAAGGCCCATACAAACCCATGAGTCAGTCCAAACTATAAATTAGATTTGAGGGCAGAAATATGTTAGATTAGAAGTTTGGGTTTTTTTTCAGGCGGTCTCATAAAGGGCTGGGAGTGTTTTCCTCATTTAATTCAATCTGGAAAAAACAAACAATAGCCTGCAAGCATCCTTTTTCCTGCCCAAATGGCTCTTCTGCCTTTGCAAGGTAATGTTCTTATGGCTTCAGGGAGAATTAAGCCTGGAGTTCTGCTAGGAGAGTATCCAACACTTCACTGTGCTCTCTTCTATTGAAAACTAGATCTAATTATTTTTACTTACAGATGTTCTTCCTCCCTGTGGGAGGCACTGCAAGTTAAGTTGTGCAGTTGGTAGATTGTTTTAATTATCACACCTATCCACTACTAAATGACTCTTTATTAAATGCTTTTGAAATCCTTTTAGTAATGTTATCTCAATTCTTGTAGTTCACCAGTGGAGAATATAAGGCAATTCCCAATAAAATTGTTTTTTCTCAAGCTGTATCCATATGAAAATAATTTAATAAGGGACTAATCCTGGGAAGTTTGCTGTAATGAGCAAGTTTAGTTTCATTTTTTCTCAAGATGTATCCATATGAAAATAATAAGGGACTAATCCTGGGAAGTTTGCTGTAATGAGCAAGTTTAGTTTCATTAAGAGAAAATTAAATTATGGCAGAACACATGACCTAAATCCTTTGGGGAGTTTGTGGTGATGCATTTCTGTGCAGACAACTTGACTGGCTCTAGTCCAGGTAGTCCTGGGTTTTATGGCAACTGATTGATAATTAATTGCCCACAATTAATGGCACTTTAGGATTGGATAGTTATTGGTAAATATGCTTCTGGGGGGTTGGAACAAAACTCCTCAGAGGAATATCGTCCTCCATGGGAGTTCCAAGTAAAAAACAAACCAGTTTGGACACTGGTTCAGACAGGGCTTAGTGCTAGAGACTGGGATGCACTTGGAAATGATCAAATGTTCCCAGGCAGATTCACCAATTCCCTTGCAGAGTCTAATGAATTTGCTGAAATTTTAGTCCCTGGAAAACAGTGATGTGAGGAGCTGCTTATGTAAGTAAGATCAGCATCTGTGCTTACATTAGTTAGAAAAAATTAGGAAGGTTATTAATGCTTCAAATCACTGACTGAAATTAAAAGGAAGAAAAAAAAATAGCCCATAATGGCACATCCATGCTGTGGTGTAATTATGTGCATCACCCTTTCTCTGATTAAATGCAATTCAAGCTTCTGTTAATAAGAAATAAAGAAAAAAATCGTAGACAATTACAAACCTTGCTAAAACCCCTACGCCTGTTCCTGATTTATCAACTGCTCCAACCACAATCCTACAGACCTTTGGGGCAAACAGCATCCCCAAATATGCAATATATCCATGCTTTATTTGGGGCACTGGTAACTGCAGCATTGCACCCACAGGTATAAATGGGTTTCAAAGCCCCTTTGTGATCTCAAAGGCAGCCTTGTGATCTCGTTGTGTTTTTGGAAATGGGAGCAGCTGGTTCATGCTGCCTTCAGGGTTCTGTGTCCTCTGTATCTACAGATCATGTGTGATAAGGGATGTTGGGGTGCAGTTTTGCTCTTCTCTGGACCTTGCTTTGTGCCCAGCTCTGCATTAGAACCCCTTCCTGAAGTGGACAAAACTGGATCATCTCCTTTCTCCACAGCAAAGCCAGTGATCAGAAATTGAAGCTCTTGCTCAGTGGGTGGTGTGTGTTTGGTGTTTGAGTTAACAGCCTTGCATTTTTATATCAATATACTCAATGTAATTATTACTTTGTCTGTAGTCCTTCAAGTTGCCACTAAATTGAAGAATGCCAGCTTTCTGAACGTGGGACAAATCTACTTTATCTCTTAAATTAATTAGCAGGAGACTGCATAAACACTAGAAATAATTTAATAGAGGAGGACTCCAGATGGCTGAAGGTAGACTCAGGCATTCAGAACATTCCACATCCTGACTGCAATACCCTGCACAGCCATACGTCCTGATGCTTTGGGGAATTTACAGATGAGCTGCACTGCAATCTGCTGGGAGGCAGGATAGTCACAGGGCTTCATTGTCACAGAAAAAA